CCCCCCCCCCCCCCCCCCCCCCCGGTAGGATTTGCTGATATCAGCTACTTCCTCAGTGTGCCAGTGGTACATGCCATGAAGAAGCTTATTTTTCCATGATGGCTCCTCTTGTTCCTCCTCATTCACACTGGCTTCTGCTGCTGCCTGAGACATTCACTCATCAGTTCATCATCGGGAGCTTTCCTCCTGCTGCACTCCGGGATCAAAGTTGTTTCATCCTGTGTAGTGGCTCGGATGCTTGCTAGTCATCTGCATCCCTCCTTAGTGTACATTCTCAGGGGGCTGGACTTGGGATGAAACCCTCCATACATTGTGAGGAGCTTTTGACGTCAGTGGCTTCTATCTTCTCCATTGGCCAGGATTCCCAGCATCTCTCTGGTGTTAACATACAAATATTAACGTAAAATCTTCACACAAAAACACATCAGAAAACAAACTTTATTCTATAGTAATGGTTCTTTTTGTCAATCTGCTGAAATAAGAGGTCAAACCTAGTTTGTGTGACTTAAAAATATACATATATTTCATTAGATATTTGACATTATTCATATATCAGCAAAAACGTGAAATCTATGTTTCTAGAAGGTCCAGAAGTAGCCTCACATTTGGTTGAAATCCAAGTGGTTTCAGGATCTTTTCCCCTGGGACCCCCACTGCAGTGGGGCCCTGAGGCAGCTCCCAGTCTTTTTCAGGTTTAAATGTTGCTAAAAGCTCGTCTCGTGTCATTCTTGTGTCATGATTTAAGCCCCCAGTATACTCCCGCATTCGTACGTTCATGCGTATGTACGCGTGTACTGTACGTTGACGGTTAAGACTTCATACTCGAGCGTACACCCTGAGTAGCTGCAGAGCAGCTTCACAGACAAGGGGCGTTTACCTTCGGGACAAATTGAGGTCGCCGATTGGTCATTTGCTGACACGCCTACTGAATTGATTGACAGGTCGGAAAGAAAAGAAACGAGCGCTGGCAGCCTCAGCCGCAGCGGTGTTCTGTGTTTATATGTTGTTAATAAAAAGATCTTAATAAAAATAAAAAAAACAGGGAGGCTGACCCTGCAGCCCACAAATCAGACCAGTCCACCAGGAAATCTCCAAACCCTCCCACTGCCACGCTGGACCTGAGTTTAATTCGCTCGTGACAAATTCCTCCATTTCTCACCATTTCAGTCATGGCATCAACGGAGGAGGAAGCGATCTCTGCCTCTTGGCAAAAAAACAAAAGAAAAGGCCAGATCAGGGATGAAGAAGGGGAATTTAATACATTGGTGTTGCATACAAAACAGTCAGTCACCGGGCAGTTTATTGTGTGACACCGCGTACGCGTTTGCAGTCGTAAAAATTGAGCTTTGCACGGACATGCCCTGGGGGGTACGCTCGTACCTCCGCGTGTGGACGTACGCGGGAGTATACTGGGGGCTTTATCCTACTAGTACAGGGTCTGTAGAGTCAGGCTGGCAGGGTGTGTGGATCTGTTTTATAGAAGAACGTGTGTTCTTTTGACCAGAGTCGGGACTGTGCTCAGCTCGGACCCCCTGCCCCAGCTGAAGCGGTTCAGGTGCGATGGACGGATGGGCTGGTGTACGGGGCCAAGTTTGTAGCAGTTCATGTTACTCAGATGTATCTGGTAAGTTTTTTTTCTTCTGTTTTGATTAAGTTTTGTTTGATTGAAGCCGTTGATGTATTTTCATTGGAACAGAACAGAGGCAACAAAAATCCAGCCATTTTTATTAAGGATTCAAGGTTCTTTATTTGTCATTCGCACCCCATGTGGTACATGTGGTGGAACGAAATGATATACACAGGGTTCCAGTTACATCCAACAATAAAATGTAAATGAAAAACAGTAATAAGATCTAAGATATGAACTAAGAAAAACATCAACTAAAACTACACTAAGCACTAGTAGCATAAAAACATTACGTCGAACATCAGCACGAACATGAGTCTGTGTGAGCAGATGAGCACGAATGAACACATCAACATGAAACAGATCAGCAGCAACATGATGTGATTTTTTTCACAGTGATTATTCTGGTTAGATATTCATGAGTCGAACAGCCTCAGGGTAGAACAGGGGTGGGCAAATTTTTGGACTCGCGGGCCACACTGAGTTCTAAAATTGGAGCGAAGGGCCGGGCCAGGAACAGATGGATGGAGTCCAAAAAAGTTCAATCTGGTCCTCTGGACATTCAAAAAAACAAAAGCATCATCAGGCCAGGATTCTGCGGTCTACACTCATCTCCAGGCCAGCGGTCACTCTTTCAAGGATGAAGATGTTCACATCCTGGACAGAGAGGAACGATGGTTTGAGAGAGGAGTAAAGGAGGCCATCTTTGTGAAAAGAAATCGTCCATCATTAAACAGGGGTGGAGGCCTCCGGGTTCAACTGTCCCCCTCTTACAATGCTGTGATTGCTAGTATCACTCAGCCCTCTGTGAGTAGTAAACAGCCATCAGTGTGCTAATGACCCATTGTTAGGCTGATGGTCCTTCTTGAGCATGTGATCAGCTGGTTTTGGTTGTCAGCAGCAAACTGGTTGATCCACTCTAAGAAGGTGCTATTTAAGAGACTGAGCTGAAAACAGCACCTCAGACTGAGGAAGTCTCTTGGATGAGAGACGAAACGTTTCTAGAATTTTTTATTTTTTTGCTTTGTTTTGCTTTTGTTTTTTTGAATGTCCAGAGGACCAGATTGAACTTTTTTGGATTTTTCTACCTGGATTATTGAGCATGCATCAAGATAGATGGATGGAGTGTTTGTGTGATGTTACACCCCAGTGCAATAACAGCTGCCAGGATGCTATTGATTATGGGCGATTCCACCTTCTGCACCACTCAAGCAGCCAGTAAGTCATGATTATATGATAGAACAGTGATTTTATTTACAATAGTGAAATTATTGTGGAGTCTTACCAACTTCAGGCCCAAACAACAAACAAAACAAACCACTGTATTTTCTCTTACCTGAAGAAAAATAAAATTCACCAAACCACAAGTCTCTTACCTCACTATGCTAATGGAATACTGGAGAAAAGTCAAAATAAAGTGGCAACTTACCTCTACAAACTCCTCACAAAACTTTTTACAACTACAGGATCTAAATCCAACATTTTTCAGTCAGCTCATCACATTTTTTTTGTGCTGAAACATTTCGCCTTCAATCCGGAAGGCTTCATCAGTCAAGGAAACGCACAACAAAACTGATTCTTCCCCCAACAGCTTACTCCAAAGTGGAACAAATCAAAAAAGAAACTGTCCAGATGACCTGACTGAAAAATTTTGGATTGTATACCTGGATTATTGAGCATGGACTTTGTTACAGGATCTAAAGTTGATGACAGGTCAGCTGTGGCAGGTTGGGAATGGAAGCAGACGTCATCCTCCTGCAGCTCCTCTATGCAGCATCACAACAGAGTACCTGGACAATAATTCACACGTTTTTGTCTTTCACTTTTTTTTTTTTTGATAATTCACACACAATTAACCGTTTCACACACGCACACACAAAGCATGACTTACAGTGATTCCTGATGGATGAAAAATAACATCCTGACCGAGGTGTTCCTCGCTCTAGTGGTTCTACACTTAATGCTCCTCAACCTCCTTCCTGAGGGGAGCAGGATAAAAAGTGTTTGTTCTGGGTGAGTGGGGTCCTTCATGATGCAGGTGGCCCTCTTCCTGCATCTAGAGGTGTAGATGTCTTTGATGGTGGGGAGGCTGACTCCAACAGACTTCTGTGCAGCCTTCACCACTCTCTGCAAAGCTTTTCTTTCTGCAGCTGTGCAGCCTCCACGCCACACGTTGATGCTAAGGAGGTGAGGACTGAGCTTCCCAGAACAGCTCGTCTCAGCTGCCTGAGGAAGTAGAGTTTCTGATGAGCTTTCTTGATCAGGCTGGTGGTGTTGTTGCTCCAGCTGAGGTTGTCATTCATGTGTACACCCAAGTACTTGTAGCTGGAGACCACTTCCACCGCAGATCCTCTTATGTTCAGGGTGGTGTAGGTGTGTTTGTTTCTTCTGAAGTCCACGATCATCCCCTTTGTCTTCTTCACATTGATGTGAAGGTTATTCTCTTTGCACTAGCTCTCCGGGTGTTCCACCTCCTGCCTGTAGCTGGACTAATCATTGTTTGTGATGCATCCCACCACCGCTACCGCTGTATCATATGCAAACTTTACTATATGACAGCCTGGATGGGTAGCTGCACAATCATACGTGAGCAGAGTAAACAGGAGAAGGCTCAGCACACATCCCTGAGGAGAGCCAGTGCTCGGGGTTATGGTGGAGGAGGAGAAGTTGTGGATCCTCACAGACTGAGGTCTGTTTGTTAAGAAGTCTAGTACCCAGTTGCAAATGGAGGGGTTATTAATGGATGAAGGAAAGATTTCAGTTTGTTTAATGTTTACTAACAACATTAAACAAACAGATGAGGTCAGGCAGGAATTCCCATGGATGTTGGATGTTTGCAGATGACATTGTGATCTGTGGTGATAACAGGGAACAGGTGGAAGAGAACTTAGAGAGGTGGATGTATGCACTTGAAAGAAGAGGAATGAAACTCCGCTGTAGTAAGACAGATTACACATGTGTGAATGAGACAGGAGGAACAGAGATGCTACAAGGAGCAGAGGTCACAAAGGTGCAGGACTTCAAATACTTTGGGTCCACTGGGAAGTGTGGAAAAGGGAGTCCAGGCAGGATGGAGTGGATGGAGAAAGTTTCAGGAGTGATTTGTGACAAAAGGGTGTCAGCAAAAGTAAAAAAAAAAAAGGTTTACAAGACCGTGATGGACTAGCTATGTTTTATAATCTAGAGACAGAAACATGGACATGGAGGCAGAAATGGAAGTGGCAAAAATGAAGATGTTCAGGTGGTTCTTGGGAGTGACAAGGATGATTGTCCAGATGCGACTTGTTAAGAAACATTGGTGGACGTTCGCAGTAAGACGTGTTGTCACTTCCTATTTTCTCCGTTGGTAGCTGGAGTCATTTGTTTGCTCAAGCAATCTTATTTTACTGGATTTATCTATCTCTTGCATAGTTCTACATTCTAATACACAAACACTTTTGATACAATTATTTTCCACTGTTGGATTGTGCTGAACAACTTTTTTCTTTCAACACTTCTTGGTTTTTATTGGTGTATTTGAAATTTGCTAGCTCTTATTAGTCTTAGCTTAGCTTGGCTTCTGGGTCTCTCCCAGCTTCCTCTCTGTCAGATGTTTAGCTATTCCTCTGCCTCCTTTAGCATTCCGGGGGCCAGAGTGGGTGACATAGAATCCTACCTGAAACTGCTGGCTAAGGTTAAATACAGTAAGATTGTTATTCACATCAGCGGTAATGACACCTGGTTACACCAATTCAGAGATCACTAAAATTATTGTTGCTTCGGTGTGTGACTTCGCTAAAACTATGTCGGACTCTGTAGTTTTCTCTGGTCCCCGCCTCAACCTGACCAGCAATGACATGTTTTGCAAGGCTTGTTTTGGAAGACAACCAAACTTCTTTTTCTCAGGGCAGAGAGGAGGAATGTTCTCAACCATAATAATAAAAACATCCATAACCTTTGACCAGAAATTCCCTGACATCTCAGCAGCAGGTTAGCTTTTTGTAGCTCTAATCTTGTTGACTGTTACAAATGAGCTCTCCTGTTGGCTTTATAGAAGAAAAGTGATGCTTGGTGGAGCTTCATGCAGTTAAAATACTACCTTATCGGCACAAAGTTTCCACTTTATGATCATATCATGATCTCTTATACTCCCAATCCCACATCTAGCAATGGCAGATTTGTTGGATTTTTTTTCTCCCCCTTTTGAGATTGTGTTCAAGCGGTTATATAGAATTGGATGTAGGTGCAAATCATCTTTCATTCATGCTTTACCTGTTTTATATGATAATCTTGCAGCAAGCATTAAAAAGTGACGTACATTATAAATCATTAGAATGTAAGGTTGTTTTCACACCTGATAGTCTGGTAGACTCTGTTCAGTTGGGGACCAATATTCATATTTTGTTTACATTTGAGCTGGTACAGTTTGCATTCACACTGCACTGTGCAGTCGAGCCAACCTGTTGAACCAACCTGTTCCCCCACTCGCCTGTGGTGGCGCTGCACCAAGAACAACTGAAAGAAACAACACAAAAACCTCTAAAGACACTTCTTCTTCTTCTGCTTCTTCTTCTTCTTCTGGAAATAAAAACAAAAATGGAGTGGCATCAAGTTTTAGCAATTTTAGGAGTTATATTTTGTCATTTTTCAAAAATGGACTCGGCATGAGCAGAAGATGAGGCAGAAGACCATGGAGAATATTGTTTTTCACACAAGGCAGCTGACGGCTGAGGTAAGAGAAATGTGTGTTTGTTTGCCCTGCGCTGTACTCCACTTCTTGCTTGTGGAGCGGGGCCCGGTCTGTTTACATTCACACTGTACTGGAACCGCGCTGGAGTTTTCTTCTACCAGACCAAGACCTAGGTTTTAGCCCAGGCCAGAGTTTGCCTTTTTGTTCCGTGACAGAATTTGATGGCGCATTCACACCTCCCCAAACGAACCGGACTTCCTAGGAAAACGAGCTAGAGTTCGAGTAAAGCGGACTAAATAGGGCTGGTGTGAATGCACCCTTAAACTGCTCAATTTTGTTTATTTTTTTGCACATTTTTATACTTTTGTAAAATGCAGGTGGAGTTTGAAGATGGGTCCCAACTAACTGCCAAGAGAGATGATGTCTACACTCTGGATGAAGAACTCCCCAAGAGAGTCAAGTCCAGACTGGTGAGTGTAGCTCTGACTTGTGTGTCCTGTGCGTTTTTTCTAACTAATGGACCCTTCTGTTGTGTCCACAGTCCAAAGCTTCAGACATGAGGTTTGATGGGATCTTTGAGGACAATGAAATCATCCAGGAGTCAAAGAGACAGAGAGTTATTAACTCACGTTACAGGGGGGACTACATCGAGCCTGTGATTTACAGAGCTATCATGGAGTAAAGACCCTCGCCGCCACATGGATAGACACCCTGAAGGACCCTTTGTCACATGTCTGTCTGTCCCTCTCAAGTCTAAAAGAACCCTTGACCCTAGTTTTACCATTAATTTGAAAAAAGATCCTGGTTCTACCGTTCATTTCAAAAAAAGATCCTGGTTCTACCATTCTGTTCAAAAAAAGATCCTGGTTCTACACCGTTCAGTTACAAAAAAGATCCTGGTTCTACACCGTTCAGTTACAAAAAAGACCCAGGTTTTTACCCGTTGGTTAAAATATAAACCCTGGTTTTACCAACTGGTTCAAAAGTAGACCCTAGTTTTTTTTAGTTTTTTTTTTTTTTTTTTTTTAACTTTTTTACCCGTTGGTTCAAGAAAATGCCCTGACTTTTATCTGTCTGTTAAAAAAAGACCCTGGTTTTACCATGCAAATAATAAAAGACCCTTGTTTTACTCGTCGGTTCAAAAAAGACCATTGTTTAACCTATCTGTTAAAAAAACACCCTGGTTTTTACCCATCTGTTAAAAAGAAGACTCTGGTTTTACCCTCCGGTAAAAAATATAGACCCTGGTTTTTACTCATCTTAACAAAAAAAAAACCCTGGTGTTTACCCATCTGTTTCAAAATAAAACCTGGCTTTTACCAGTTGGTGCAAGAAAAGACCCTAGTTTTACCATTCAATAAAAATAGACTCCTGTTTTACTTGTCTGTTCTAAAAAAAGACCCTTGTTTAACTCCTGTTAAAAAAAAAAAAAAAAACTGATTTTACCATTCAGTTAAAAAAAGGCCCTGGTTTATACCAGTTGGGTCAAAAATAGAGCCTGGTTTTTACTCGTGTTCAAAAAATTACCCTGGTTTTACAGTTCATAAAAAAAAAAAGACCAGACCCTGATTTTTCCAGTTCAAAATATACATTGGTTTTACTATTCAATTATAAAAAAAATATGCTGGTTTGACCATTCTGTAAAAAAAACAACTGTTTTTTTTTCCCTTGGGTTAAAAAATAGACCCTGGTTTTTACTACTTTGTTCAAAAAAAGACCCTGTTTTTTTTTTTTACTTTTCTGTTTAAAAAAAATAAGATCCTTGTTTAATCTATGTTTTAAAGAAGACCCTGGTTTTACCATTCATTTAAAAAAAATACCGTTATTTTACTCGTCTGTTTAAACAAACAAAAAAAATCCTTGTTTAATCTATGTTTTAAAAATGACCCTGGTTTTACCATTCAGAAAAAAAACCCTGTTTTTTACTCATCTTTTCCAAAAAAACAAACAAACATGATTTTTACCTATTTGTTAATCATTCATTTCAAATAAATACCCTGGTTTTACCTTATTTTTAGATGAAATGTATCAAATTATTTACCAAGAAATACAAATGACTTTTCAACTATACATTAAATAAATAAAAACTCACTAAATAACTGAACATGTGGAATTATAATTTAATTAAAAAAATAATCCAGACAAAGGAAACCAAAGCAGGCTCTGTTGATCTGACACACTTTAAGTCAAAGAACCCAAAACTTTCATGCTAGAGTTTTTACGCTTCCATCCCTGTACAAATATTTGCTTCTCTTACCCTGACCAACCTCTGTCTGTCCATCTTGAGCAGGGAGGCCCAGACATCTCTTACCACAGCCTCCCTCCATCTCTTCTAGGAGACTCCAAGGTATCCCAGGCCAGCTGAGAGACATAGTCCCTCTAGCGTCCCTGACTGTGGTCTTCACCTAGCTGGACATACCCTTAAAGCCTCTCTAGGGAGATGTCCAGGGGTCATCCTTACCAGATGTCTGAACCACCTCAGCAGTTACATCTGGATGTGGAGGAGCAGTGACTGTAGTACAAGTCTCTCCTGGAGAACAGCTTCTCACCCTATCTCTAAGGGAGAGTCTAGAGAAAACTAATTTAGACGTCCTGGATCCACAATCTTGTTCTTTCAGTCTCTACCCAGAGTTCATGACCATGGGTGAGCGTAGGCACGTAGACTGACCGGTAAACAGAGAGCTTTTCCTTGCAGCTCAGCTCCCTCTTCACCACAATGGATTGGCACAAAGTCCACAATACTGGAGAAGCAGCACCAGCCCATCTGTCAGTTTCCATTCTTCCCTTACTGTAAACAAAATCCAGAGATACTTGAACTCCTCCACTCGAGGCAAAACCTCACTCCCAACCGGGAGATGACAACCCACACTTTTCAGATTGAGGACCATGGCCTCAGACTTGGAGGTTCTGATCCTCATCCCAGCTGTGGACTGCACCAGGGAGAGCTGAAGATCATAGCACAATGATGCCAACAGGACCACATCATCTGTAAAAGAGCAGAGATGGAATCCTGGAGCCACCAAACCAGACTCCCTCTGTATTTGGGACAATTAAATACTTGTGAAAACAGAATGCACTTACACACTCTCAACAGTTATATAAAATGACTGAGTCTTGATGCGTAAAACACACGGGCTAAATGATGGATGGAAATGTGAAACAATGCACATGAATATATTTTGTCAATCTTTGCTGACAGCTGAATAAACATCCTTCCTCCTGTTTGAAAGTTTAAACATCAACATAACAAGGTCCTCTGGACAGATTCTTCTTTATTGAAACGTTTCCTCTTTTATCCAAAAGACTTCTTCAGTCTGAGGAGCTGCAACAAACTCAGTCAAGCAGCACCTTCTCATAGTGGATCCACCAGTTTGCTGGTGACAGCCAAAACTAGCTGTTCATGTGTAAAAAGAGGATCATCAGCCTTAGTGGCCCTGATGGCCGCTTGCTATTCACAGAGGGCTGAATGATACTTGCAGTAACAACACTGGAAGAGAATGACAGTTGAACATGGAGGCCTCCTCCCCTGTTTAATGATGGACAAGTTCTCTTCACAAAGATGGCCTTCCTTACTCCTCTCAAACCAATGTTTCTCTATCAAGGATGTGAACATCTTCATCCCTGAAAGAGTGATTGCTGGCCTGAAGATGAATGTAAACCACAGTCCTGGCCTGATGATGATGCTGTTCTGTGCTGGACCATCCTTTTGGCCAGTGGCTGTTCAGTTTCCCTGATGTAAGACTGATCACAGCTCTGACACTGAACAGCATACACAATATTACTCTGTTTGTGCCAGGGGACTGGATCTTTGGGATGAACCAGTCTTTGCCGTAATGTATTTTGCGGTTTAAAAGCCACTAGTTTGTCATGTTTAGAAAATAAACATCTCAGTTTCTCTGATACTCCCGCAACATACGAAATGACCACTGATCTGGGTCTCTGGGTTCCTTCTTTTCACCTGATGACTGGCTGGAGTCCTGTTTGGGTTTCTTTTGTACTTTCAGGAAGGCCCAGTTAAGATATTCATATTGCTCCAGAGCCTGTCTTGTGTGGGATTTCTCCTTCTCCCTGGCTCCTAAGTTCATGAGGATGCTGTCGGCTCTGTGGTTCAAAGTCCTGATGACTCCTAACGTGCTCCAGCAAGTGATGGAAGTCAAACCACAAATACTGGTCTGTGTGGGTGGGTTTGCTACACACCCATTTGCAAATGTCCTCCAATGTCCTCCATGTGCTATTTAAGACTGAGTTTATTGGTGCACCTCAGACTGAAGAAGTCTTTTGGATAAAAGACGAAACATTTCAGCAAAGAAGAATCCATCCAGAGTACCTGACTTAACCTTGTTAGATTTATCTACCTGGATTATTGAGCATGCATCAGGACATATATTTTTATGCAGTTGATGTGATCAGTGAAATGTTGGACTTCCCGAGATTTAATTTTTAACCCAGATGTCATCAGCATACCTGAACCAATGACTGGTGGTGTCCTTGAAAAGGACGTCAAGGCTCTCTTCTACCTCCTTCATGTACAGGTTGGCAACAATAGGAGAAACTGGGGACCCTATAGCACGTTTCTGCCTAAAATATTGTCCAAAGTAGGTTAACTGCAGGCACAATTTCAAGAGTTGGCACTGTTGCTCTGTGGAAAGCGTGGTCCTGCTGCTCAGAGTGGTGTCTGATTTTAATCTTAAACTGACCACCTCTACTGCATCATCAACAGGAATGCACGTAAAGAGTGATGTGACATCAAAAGAGACCATTGTTTCATCAGTCTCCATGATGACATCCCTCACCTTATCCACAAAGTCCGTGGTGTTCTGTATGTGGTGTTCTGAGCTGTCAACTAAAGGGATGAGTACAGACGCCAGATATTTGGAAACGTACGATAAGTGACTGAGTTAATCAAGAATCGATCTTAACAGTACACCTTGTTTGTGAATTGTAGGTAAACCATACAGACTGCGTGGCCTCTCCTTTGTACAGTCTTGGTACAGAATACAGTTAATAGCCTTGTTCTGCGCCAAATGTTTCAGGCACTATCAACTTCTTGTAACCATTTCCTGAATCTCTTTTCAGCGGCTCATAAGTGGTTAAGTCACTAAGGAGTGTTGTAACTTTCTCATGATAGTCTGGTTCAAAATCACTGTGCACCTTCCTTTGTCTGCTGGGAGGAAGATGATGTTCTTGTCCTTGCTGAGAATGGTGAGTGCATCCCTCTCCTCTGCTGATATTGGAAGGTGGTAGTTGGGCACCAAACCACCACCTTCCAATAATAGTAATACACATGAGGCAGAAACTTGTTTCTAAGTCGTTCTGCTTTAAACTGTAATTTCTTACAATACTGTTATTGCAAGTATCACTCAGTCCTCTGTGAATAGCAAACGGCCATCAGTGCCACTAAGTAAGATGGTCCTCCTTTTGCATATAAACAACTAGTTCTGGCCGTCTGATACTATGAGAAGGTGCTTCTGCTTATAAGACTGTTTATTGCAGCTTGTCAGACTGAAAAAGTATTTTGGTTAAAAAGACGAAACGTTTCAACAAAGAAGAATCCGTCCAGAGGACCTGACTCAACCTTGTTAGATTTATCTACAGTACCTGTACTTCTGCACATCCATTAGGATATTTAAACATGAATGTTTCCCCTGATCTGTTGATGGGGTTTGATTTTCTAAATGATTCTCTAGTTGTCTTAATTAAAATTTAAAACAATTACCTGAAATTCATAGTGACCAAGTCGTAGATAAATGTTTAGCTCACTCAGTAAAATGTCCAAAAATTGCATTACAGTAGTTCTCACCAAAGTTAGTAATAGGTTTAGGTTTATGCAGGTTAACACGAGGTAAACAATGCAATGAAATGCTCATGACTAGAAGAACCGTCTCGACTTGCCAAAAATAAGTAAGAAATACCAAAGCATGCAACAAAAGTGAAAAAGAAAAACATCTACAGCAGCATGATCCTATTAGCAGAGTGGTTCTGTTGGCAGTGAGGTTCTCTTAGCGACTTGGTCCTGTAAGCAGATAACAGTGTGGATCTGTTAGCAGCGTGGTCTTGTTACATTTAGCAAAATAATGATAACTGCGGCAATGGACGATGTCTGCCCTCCAGAACCAGTTCCGGCAGACACAAACATCCAAAGTTTCACCGCGGGACCGAACTGTTCTGTAGAGTTCGGTCCGTGCAGGAAGATGGAGGAGCATGGAAACGGCTTCCATGACAGGCTGGAGCCTGAGCCCGAGGCGGGAAGGGCGCCGGGAACTGAACCAGGATGGCAAGGTAGCGAGTGCGTCGCGGTCATACCCGTAGTGTGTGTGTGTAGTGTAGATGCAAAAAAGTTTAAACAAAAACGGGTACAAAAAGAGCAGTCAAAGCAGAGCTCTCATCATTACGGTCATACTGCGGCGCACATGATGTCAGGTTTATGTAGAATATTTTATATATTTTTGTTACTTTAAATGTTTCTCTTTTATTTCTCGCATTTTAAAAATTAATTAATTGATAATGAGCCATGGAATTTCACATTGATTTTGACTCTCCTTGTTAATTCAATGATCATCACACTCATTTCATCACAGTTCCTGCTGCAGAGAAAAAGCCCAGAACATCTTAAAGGACATCCTGATGCATGCTCAATAATCCAGGTAGAAAAATCTAAAAAAGTTAAATCTGGTCCTCTGGACATTCAAATAACAAGACTTAAAGGACACTTGATATGATCTGTTACTGTTACCATCCAACATCTATCCATTATCTTCGCTTCTTCTTTTGGGTCACTGTGCGAGAGGCGGGGGACACCCTGGACAGGTCGCAAGTTCATGACAGGGACACGGAGACAAAACCATTCACTCTCTCACCCACACCTAGGGACAATTTAGAGTTACCAATCAGCCTAACATGCATGTTTTTGGTTTGTGGGAGGAAATCTGAGTACCTGGAGAAAATGTACGCATGCACGGAGATCACAGCAAACTTCACCCAGAAAGGCCCCTGGCCGGGATCTGGACCAGCGACTTGCTTGCTGAGAGGCGTCAGCTCTTATCAACTGAGCCACTGTGCTGGCCTGAACTGTTATTCTCAGGAAAAAGGTACAGGTCATTGTAGACAAAAACACGGATTTAAAAAAAAAGAAGTTTTTATCTATTAGCCATTACAGGACTTAGCTGTAATAACAATATGGGTGGCACAATGGAGCAGTTGGTAGAGCTGCCGCCTCTCAGCGAGAAGGTCGCTGGCTCAAATCCTGACCCAGGACCTTTCTGGGTGGAGTTTGCATGTTCTCTCCATGCATGTTTGGGTTTTCTCCAGGTACTCCAGTTTCTTCCCACAGACCAAAAACATGCATATTGGACTGATCGGTAACTCTAAATTGGCCCTAGGTGTGAGAGAGTGGTTGGTTGGTTGTTTTTATGTGTCCCTTTGATGGACTGGAGATCTGTCCAGGGTGTCCCCGCCTCTCGCACAGTGACTGCTGGATATGGGCACCAGTGACCCCTGTGACCTGAAAAGGAAGAAGCGGGTAAAGATAATGGATGGATGGATGTAATAAAAATAAGTGCCATAAGGGACCTTATAAGTGTCCTGCTCCTCCTTGACTGGCCACCTTATCGTGGTGGAGGAGTTGGTGTGCCTGAATGATCCTAGGAGCTATGTTGTCCGGGGCATTTTTAATTGCCCCTGGTAGAGTTTCCCAAGGCAGATTGGTTATAGGTGACAGGCCAGACAGTGATTCATAAGACTCATAAGACTTATATAGACAACAAAAATTGAGGAACACTGTGTCCCTTGCCCAGATGTGGGTTACCGGGGCCCCACCCTGGAGGCATGCCTGGAGGAAGGGCTCGTCGGCAGGCACTTGGTGACTGGGTCAGTCTGAAGGAACAACATGGGTTTTCCTTCCTGTGGACCCACCACCTGCAGGAGGGGCCATACAAGTCTGGTGCATGATGCCATGGGCAGTGGCCGAAGGTGGGGACCTTGGCTTTCTGACCCTGGCTTACCTAAGCTGGTTCTTGGGACATGGAATTAACCTCTCTGGTGGGGAAGAAGCCTGAGCTTGTGCGTTAGGTTGAGAGGTACAGACTGGGCTCACCTCGATGCACAGCATGGGCTCTGGAACCAATATCCTTGAGAGGGGCTGGACTTATTCCACCCTGGAGTTGCCCACCCATGGTAAGAGGCACCGAGCTGGTGTGGGTCTACCTTTGGCCTTTCGACTTAGTGCCTATGTGTTGGAGTTTTCCTCAGTAGATGAGAGGGTGGCTTCCCTGTGCTTTCAGGTGAGAGGATGGGCTTTGATGGTTGTTTGTGCTATACGCCAAATGGCAGTTCGAAGTATCCGGCCTTCTTGGAGTCCTTGGCGGAGACAGATGTTTAAAGTTACTTAGAGAAGTCAAGGTCGAGAGCTTCAGGTCTTTTTGCAAGATATTCCAGGAAACAGGAGCGGAGTAGGAGAAGGCCCTTTTGCCTAGTTCAGTCCTCACTGAGGGAACACTGCAGGTAATAATGTCCTGAGAGCGTACGCTGTAGCTGCACTCACACAGATACATGTAGGAGAATAGGCAGCAGACCAAGATGTGATTTAAAGATGAAAATGTATCAATGGGAGAGTCTGCGTGAGGTTAATGATGACCAATTAACCAGTGAATACAGGGTGCAGTGATGGGTACGGTAGTTGCAGCCAGTTATGAATCTTAATGCACTGTGATAGGCAGCATCCAGCATCTGCAGAGTGCTTGTAGGAGCATTCATTTAGATAATATCACTGTAGTATTGTAGTATTGCAGTATTGCGGACTCTGCCGGTCTGTTGTGGTGAAAAGGGAGCTGAGCTGTAAGGCAAAGTTCTCTGTTTACTGGTTGGTTTAGTAGGTCTAGTTCCAACTCTCACCTATGGTCACGTACTCTGGGTAGTGACTGAAAGAATGAGATTGCGGATACAGGTGGTTCAAATGACATCCTGATGCATGCTCAATAATCCAGGTAGAAAAATCAAATGGTTGAAATGTGGTTGAAATTAGTTTCCTCTGCAGGGTAGCTGCACTCTCCCTTAGAGATGGGGTGAGAAGTAGTTATCTGAGAGAGACTCTGAGTAGAACTATTGCTCCTCCACATTGAGAGGAACCAGTTAAGGTGGTTCGGGCATCTGATAAGGATGCCCCCTGGGCCCCTCCCTAGGGAGGTGTTTTGGGTATGTTCGACTGGGAGGAGACCCTGGGGACGACCCAGGTCACGCAAGACAACATCTCGGTTTGCCTGGGAATGCCTTGGAATCCTCCCAGAAGATCCGGAAGAGATGGCGTGGAAAGAGATGTCTGGGCCGCCCTGCTCATGCTGCTGCCCCCACAACCTGACTTCGGAACATGCAGAAGATAATGGATGGATGCATGGATGCATTAAGGGACAATAGTGTAATATCAATATGCTTGTGTTGCACATGTGAGGTGTTCAAAACTTGTAATTAATACATTTTTTAAACTGTTTTTATTTATTAATATATTTTATATTTTATTTTCACTCTGGGTAGCAAACCCAAATTTTGCTGTTTGGTACTTTGGTGCAATGACCATTACAAGTCCATCTCTTATTATTTTTTTTTTGATTTAGAGGAATTGATCTGTAACTTTTGTGAATGTGTGACTCTGCAAATCTAATTAATACATCTTGTTCATTTGTGCATATCTAAATTAATTTGCTAACTTTTTATTACATATTAACTTTTCTTGACCCCTTTCATAATGGAAATGCTCGCATATACTGATCCTTCTGAGGTTCCGTAGGTGTTGTGCCGTGTTGCCAGTTATAATTAAAGTACCCGGTAGTTTTGAGGTATGTCCGGTCAATAGTTAAAAAAAACAAAACAACGAAGTGTCCAATAGTTTTGATATTTCTGTGCATCATATGAGGACACACATATTGTAAGATATTCCTTGTGGAAAAACTTAATCACTCTTTTTTCCTGGGTCCTCTTCCGGTTAGTTTTTGAAGCGACAGTACGATAGTTCGTTGTTTTCGATCTGGCAACCCTATTCAGCAAAGCGCTGCGTAACATTTAGCGCGAGTTTTGGTTCGGTTCGGTCGTAGGATCGTGATGTGGGGTTCTTGTCTTGTAGCGAATCACTCGTAACCTGGTTACTCGGAACCTTCGGACTGAACCGAGCCTATTTTCTGGTCGTATAGAACCAGAACTTCTCGGCATCAGACGGAGCCATTAAATCATGGTAAATAAGCGGAAAGGTTACTCCGGTACCGCCGGTGGTGGTTCTGTTTGGAGGTGGCTTTAATTTGTTCTTAACTTTTTAGAGAAGGAGTTTTGCTCCCAGTCAGGTCGCTAAACGGAAGCTGGCAGGACCAGGAGGTTCGGGTGAAGACGAAGACCGGAACCACAAAACGGTCAGTTTGTTTCAGACACTTCTTTAGAGGCAGCCCGGCGGGCGACAGTGTTTTCAGTGTTCTGTTTATGTGTGGTCCTGTATGTCTGTGAGGGAGGCACCTCATTTAGTGATAGTCATCTTTGTCCAGCCAGAATTATCTGATTGTGATTGTTCCTGTTTGATGTTTGGGATCAGATCAAGAGAATAAGGGGAGACGAGGTGACACAGAACCAGATGTCTCCCTGCAGGACGCCTCTGAGCCAGCTGAACGACATCAACAATCATGTAAGAACAGCTGCATTTATCACCAACATGTCCCTGAACATTTGCTAAATAAACACCTGATTTAAATGTCTTCCACAGGAGGCCTTTATTCAAAGGATTCTCTCTAAGCCGTTTAAGGTTCCTATTCCCAACTACACAGGTAAACTTTCCTTTAAATGCCAGCATCAACCTTTTTACAGTTACTAATGAGCATGCAACACCAGGCACTGCACCTCAAATAGTTTCATAGATACGTCTTTTACACCTGCTTTTATCAACTGTAAATGAGTTTTATTATTTTATGTTGTGAACACGTGATGTTGCCAGGTGTGTGAATGACTGCAGAGCAGCTGAAACTGAGTTAAATATGAACACATTTAGACTGAGTGCAGGTCAACGAGCCAGAAGTAGACAAAAATATCTAGACCACAAAGCATGGCAAAATACTGACTCAGAGCAGCACGTTAGTATCTGAAAGGTCAATGTCTTGTTTCCTGGCTGTGTGGTGTCTGTTTCCTGTCGGTTTGATGCCCGTTTCCTGTCTGTTTGATGCCTGTTTCCTGTCTTTGTGGTATTTGTTTCCTGTCGGCT